CATTTCTTTTCATTTCATTTCATTTCATTTCATTTCATTTCATTTCATTTCATTTTATTTTATTTTATTTTATTTTATTTTATTTTATTTTATTTTATTTTATTTTATTTTATTTTATTTTATTTTATTTTATTTTATTTTATTTTATAAATTGCCATCAATCTGTAGAAATTTGATCTCTCCAAGGACTGAATTTTTTCACCCACACAGTCATACTCAACCATTTGCATGAAGGCGCAAATGATTTTAGGCAACTACAGTGAGTTGCCATCTAGTAACAAAAACTGGGGATGCAGACAGATGATTAAATATCCAACGTATTACATTACATAAAAGAAGCATAAGCAGTCTTTCATAGACAAGTTGAAGGAAAAACATGTATACCTGTGGTGGATTGAGTCCAGTTACTGTGAGTGGTACAAGGTTTTCAGTTTGATCAGGTGTCAGGTCAGGATTTGCGCTCATAGTCGTATTTAATACATTAGGTTGTGATATGACATTTGGAGATATGCTGTAAATAGTGTTCAAAAGATCTGAGGGCATTGTTGCTCCAAATGGTAGATTAACAAAGAATGACAGAACTGAATCGTCGCCATCTTGCGTGGGAGAATTGGGCAAAATCTGGATATTCTGGAAATCAATTTCGTTCAGTTGATTCCTATAATTAACAGAAAACGTGTTTAGTCAATGGAGGTACCACTACTGCGACACCCACGCAGAAGAATATATCAACAACAATTAATGGAATTAATTAAACGAATTTAGTCTCCATGTTGAGCTTATGTACAGTAATGGCACAATCCATATATTATTCGATTACATCATATTACATTCATGGTCTATATAATTTCTATTTATAACGTCTTGGAGGATTCGATCCAAGTATAATTTGTTTCAATTGAATTTCATTAAGACTAGTATGCTTTAGTCTCAATGGCTGGGCGAAACGTCAGCTCTGAATTATGCTAATTTGTAATTCTTTACTCCACCGAAAACCCACCTCGTCTATTCACTGAAGATATTGTTACATTATATGTACTCGTGGTATTATAATTATCACTTATTTACTGAGACCGAAGGAAACAGTGTGTTTTCTGGACCCTCGACCGTCGATGTTTCCCTCGGCGAAGGTCCACAAAACACACTGCTTTCCCGAGGTCTCAGTAAATAAGTGTTTTATTATATATCAATAGTCAAAGAAACAACAAATTAAAGAACAAATGAACGTAAATACATGAAATATTTTATGGTTAAAACGGTATATTATTTAATTTAAACACTGGTTACACTGCAGTTACTTTATAAAGCGAAAGTTTCAATTACGTACTAGGCATGTCCAAAGGTCGCATCTTCACGTGATGGCGCACGTGATTTTTTTTGTTATTCGCCGGTGGATAACGTATTATCTCCCTCTCGCGCTGTTGCGAGGGAGACAGCCTAATTTCGTCACTCTCACGTGATATTCTCTCAACCAATAAAACACTAGAAAAATGCGACTTTGACTATTGATATATAATAATGCATATTATTATATGGCTTTTCAAAATTCTCTATTCTGATTGGTTGACAAGGGGTCCGTAAAAACCCATATCCGGACCGTGGTCCGTATTTTCCGTATCTGGACCGGTGTCCCGGATGTCGTTTATCGGCGAGAAATTTTTGCTTTGCCAAACAGAAAAAACTTTTGCTTTTTAATTTTCTAATTGTGTGCCATTAAAATTTACAGATAAGAATTTCAAACAGCCAAATTGTTTTTGATTAACCATGCATGCCTACAGTATATTGTTTAAATCGCGCGAAAAGCATATGCTCACAGATTCAGTTCAGCCATATAATAAACCGATTATTGAACTCGCTTTTTCGGTCTGTACTGTGAAATATCCAGACCTCTGTTTTTTGCATGGACGTCCCTCCTTCGACGCACGGTCAATACTAAAAACCTTAGTCTGACATTTCACATTATACAGACCTCACACTCGGTCAATAAGCCGTTAAAATATGATAGTAATGTCATGTATAACCTTCTATTGTAGTATATTTCATTATTAACATACCGTGTGAGATTGCACGAAGCTAATCGTGCATCACTCTGATTACAAAACTGGACAATTGCATCAGACATGTTATTTCGGAATGATATATCT